TTAAGCAAGCGTAAACTTCCAAGCAAAAGACTCTATGATGCTCTATGACTCATGCTCTATGATGTGAGGTTTTCTTGGAGCACTTAAAATAACTACAGAAAAAATGTGTATATATATTTTTGAATCACATTGATGCGTTTTAATCTTGTTTAGTTTACAACAAAAGTCTTTTACCCAATCTTTTCTGGAAACCATATTGGATTTGGATTTCTTTGATCTAAGGCTCCAGTAACAGTATTTTTTTTAAAAAAAAAAAAACATTTGATACCAAAATAAAGAAAAAATCATAAAGTTTGTTGTATAATTGAAAAAAAGCTTTAAGATCAGCAAAAAAAGTTTAAAGATCAGCAAAAAATCACTTTACAATAGACAAAATGCTAATTTATCTATTATAATCAGTGAAAGATAATTACAAAATATTTATTAAATTATTCATTTTCATACAAATATGAACTCTACACCACTCATTAGCCACTCCACATAAAAATTGGTTGTCAAAATTTTTTGGAAATGGCACATATATATATATATATATATATATATATATATATATATATATATATATATATATATATATATATATATATATATATATATATATATATATATATATATATATATATATATATATATATATACAACCCTCGGAATTAGGAAAATTGAGGTCAGCAATAATTTGCCAACCTCAATCTTTTAGAGGTTGGCATCAGGTCGGCAAATGCAAAGGTCTTACCATAAAACATCAAAACGAGGTCGGCAAAATCGAATTTTTCATGCCGACCACAAACACGTTTAGGTTGGCCGTTAGATCAGCATTGCCGAATGCCGACCCTAATTCTGAGGGTTGTATATATATGTATGTATGTATATATATATATATATATATATATATATATATATATATATATATATATATATATATATATATATATATATATATATATATATATATATATATAATAGCAAAAAAACTTCAAATTGTTAAGATGAAATTTTAAAGTTATCTCATATTATACATATATTAAACACGATTGCTCCATATACTGCCTGCAAACTCAACATGCTGAAGACGTTTATATTTACAGACATTTGCATGTAATGCTGTAAAAATGGCAGAACAAAAATATATATTCATAGCAAAAAAATAAATGTAGCAAAAAAGATTTTTATTGTTAAAATAAAATTTTTCTAGAAACAGGCATTTCTCTTTTTTTAACTCTAAAGCATCACTTTCTGGAGTAGCAGGAATGTCTTTATTAGTTTTCAGACCATACATTTTTTTAAGACCGCCTGCAGCTTAATAGGACTAATTACCTGAGCACATTAATAACAAAAATATCTCTATTATGACATATGCGCAACAAATTTTTCCTGGTGCTTTAATGTTTTTAGAAACTTTAGGCTTTTTTAAAAATCCTCTCCCTTTCGTTTGTTATAGTGTATAATATCTTTACATATGTTATGTGTATAATATCTATAAAACTTCAAAAGTGTTTTATTTTAGATTTTTCTGAAGCAAAGTGCCAAATATTTTATATTTGGCGCTTTGCTTCATAAACTCTGCAAGCTAACCACTCAGTCGCACAGGTATGTTGTTTAACCAAAAATTTACAACTACATGATAAATAAAAGACTTTATAAAACATAAATAAATGCTATAGATCAAAATTAAGATGTTGCCGTAATGTAATTTTCAAGTGAAAATAAAACTGTAAAAATTGAATATATATATATATATATATATATATATATATATATATATATATATATATATATATATATATATATATATATATATATATATATATATATATATAAAATTATATTTTGTATTTGTAAAATACAAAATATAATTTATAACAAAAACTATTGTACATATGTTCAATTGTAAACTTATTTATTTATATTACATAAAAACAAGTTTTTTCTTTCAAAGTTTTCAAAGATTCGGGTGATTAGGCAGCCGTTTATAGTTTTTTTTTCTGATGTTTGTTGCTATGATGACAGAGCACACTTTGTTGTAACTTTATATTTGTAAGGTTATTTTTATTTCTTGATTTTGTATTATATGGCTGACAATTGCCTTGAAACATGGCATTGAAGGTTAAAATTAGCATGAAACTATTAGTAGCATAAAAAGTTGTATTTTCTTTGTTTACAAATTTATATAAATCTATATATATATATATATATATATATATATATATATATATATATATATATATATATATATATATATATATATATATATATATATATAAATTTGTAAACAAAGAAATATATATATTTATAAACACACACAAATATATTTAAGAGCATATATGGATCAGCAGTCTGAATTCAAACTGTAATAGGGGTTGTTGGGGGCTTCAGTACATACGACTGATATAGAGCAAACATGCGTAGAGTGTTGCAACATCAAAAAAGAGTTTGAGTTAGGGCAGAGATCATTTTTTCATTGTTTTTTTTTTTTTTATCTTTTTTAGAAAAAACTGTATGGAAAAATAGTCAGCAAAAGAATATCTATATGAGCTATAGTAGATGTACTATATACATACATATATATATATATATATATACATATATATATATATATATATATATATATATATATATATATATATATATATATATACATACATATATATTCTTCTCTTTTCCTTTTTAGAAAAGGTGTGTGGTCGCACACCTTATATGACCACAAATTTAATATTTTGTTTTGACAACTTGGCCTTGGGTCTTGAAAATTAACCTTAGCACTACAATAACTTAGTGCTATTAGTAAAACTATTAACCTTAAACTATTAATTGAGAAGCATTTAAATTAAATTAATTATGAGGTTTAAACTACTAATTGAGACATTACTAAATTACATTATACATTATTTATATGCTTTTATTTTCTCTAGTTTATCCTTTAATTATTTTATCATTCGTTAAACTTGTTTCTCTTTTCAGTTTTTGTTTTGTTTATTTCTTATTTTCTCATTAAATTAGGATTAGGATTTTTTAGACGTGCAAATATTTAAATATAAAAATATCTGTGGTTAAGTTGTAAAAAAAAAAAATTGTATGTGTGGTCATATAACAGGCCTTCTCAGGAGACGCGTGTGGTCGCACGCCTTGAATGACCACGCATATATATTTTTTTGTTGATAACATGGCCACGATTTTTTTTGCATTTATTAAAAATGATGCATTTTAACTGCTCATCTTTTTTTTTTTATTATTAATAATTCATTATTATAGTTATTAATGAGAAAATAAAAACATTAAAATAACATATATGGGCAATTCCATTTTTAACTTACGTTACACGGGCAACAACTTTATCAAGCAAATATGCTTATTTAAACTTTTAAATTAAACTTTTAGCAATTTTGTATGAAAGCTGTTAGTCTAATAAATAAAATAAGCTTAAAAGTTATGAGTTCCGCCAAAAGATAGCAAACTTATTACTAAAAATGCCATTTGCACTTATGTTACACGGAAAACAAGGTAAAAAAACAAATTCAACTTATAGGTCTCATTTCTGCGAATCAGTAAAGCAGTTTGTATTAGAAACTTTTACAAAATGCAGAGAATTCTATACCAATTTAAAATTTTTATAAAAACTTTTTTAAAATAAACTTGTTTTTAAGATACTGTATTTTTTACTTAAATTACATCACTAACATTATCGAGCGGTTATCATGATTTTTTTTATAGTTACGTAACAAAAAAATTGAATAAGTATTGAACTCATTCATTAAAAATAATTAACAAAGAAATTTTTTAAAAACTGGTGGCACTCTTCCTGAGTGCTTTTTCATAACATTCATGAAAGTTATCAAACTGGAAATAGTTTTTTTGCAAGACCAAGAGCAACTTCAGAAAAATATTTTAGTTTTACATCTTTATTATTACTTAATTGAGTCATTGGTTTGTCGAAGTTTTTATTTACACTTCTTACGTTTATGCGTATTGTTTTATTTTTATAAGATTGAATTTTTAAAATGCTGCTAAGTTAAATTTTTAAATATTTAAATATTTTCTAAACATCTATATGTCAACCAAAATAATAGTACATAAATAAACAAAAAAAACAATAAAATAAATAATTTTAATACATATAAAAAAAAAAAGTTATTTTTTTAATTCTCCGTATATAAAAAGTTTCAGTTAAAACCTTGTCAACAGGAAGCCAATAATAAGCCAACAGGAAGAAATAATAATTACTCAATTCATTTAGTAAACAAAAACTTAATGAAAAATCGCCAGAATTTTATTAAATGCATGAAAACAAATATATATATATATATATATATATATATATATATATATATATATATATACACATACATACATATATATATATATATATATATATATATATATATATATATATATTATTTTTATCTTTTTATTTTATCATTAATTACGAATATATGTATGTGCATTATTGTTAGGTTTTTATTTTCTCATAAATAATTATAATAATAAATTACTAATAATAAAAAAAAACCAATAAGATGACTAATTAGTTTGATTTTTTCAGCGCGTTTTTAAAATGCGTCATTTTTGTTAAATGCAAAAAAAATCGTGGCCATGTTATCAACAAAAAAATATATATGCATGGTCATTCAAGGCGTGCGACCGCAGGCATCTTCTTAGAAGGCCTGTATAATGTGTGTGACCACAGACCTCTCCTAAAAAAACTTGATATATATAAATTATAATGGCTAAATTATAGCTCACGCAAGAAAAACTATGTAACAGTACTGTTTTGAAGTTTTATTACAGTAATATTATAATACGCAATCATAAAATCAAAAATTTTTGTTAAGGAACTTAAATGTAATAATATGCTTAAATACTTTCTTATCAAGCATATCAAGCATTTTTCTTTACCCTGAGCATATTTTACTTGTGCGTAGCAATCATTCCTTTTTTAACATAAAACCCTTTATGAATATATACATAAATATATACATATTTATAACAAAAAAAAAAAAACATACCTTTTTAAAACCTAAAGATATCAATGTAGATTCTAAATTACTTTCATGTATAATATTATCTGCTGAAGGTATGATAAAAAGCCGATCACCTGACACCAAGCCTAGACTCGCTAAACTTTGTGTGCTATCTAAAATAGTTTCTCGGTTATTCAATGATAAAAACCAAGTACTATAAAGAAATAAATATATAATCAGATAATTTTACACAAAAAAAATTTTGAATATATATATATATATATATATATATATATATATATATATATATATATATATATATATATATATATATATATATATATATATATATATGTATATACACACAGGGCACAGGGGCTATTCTAGGGAAAAAATATGGGTGGCAGTACGCTTCCCTGTCGCAGAGAAATTTAGCTAAAATAATGCCGAATATCAGCGTTTTTTTGCGAAAAAATCAATATTTGCCATTTAAAGCTTAAAAAAAAAAGTTCCTCAAATTTTTTTTTGGGTAGTGACCAATGATGGTTGATGGAGTCCAAAATTTAGTTTTTACAAACTGCCCATTATCTGAATTAATTCCAAAATGTAAAGGTGAACATTGGAACCTCTTTATTTCCAGAGCTTTGCACACTTTTTGATCTAATTTTTTTGTTTCAACTTTAATTGTTTTTACATTTTTCCACTTTATTTCTTGTAGGCAAAACTTATTATGGGTGGCTATTGCAGACTGATAATGTTTACCCTTGTTTAAACTTTTTAGATGTTTAATTCGAGTCCTAATTTGAAGTTTAGTTTTGCCTATGTATCTCTTTGAGCATTTGCATTCAATCAAATAAGTTCCAAGATGACAATGTGGCAATTTAGTTTTGTTTTTTGATGTTAGTTTCAGAGATAGTGATGGTAGCCACGGTAACAATATAGTAGGGAGGTTAAGGGAGATTAAATTTTGTTGATTTTAAGGGACTGTTTATTTCCAATTAAGTTTGCAATCTGTTTAAGTTGGCATATGTTGGACCCATTTTCGTTAAACATTTGAATAAGGAAATTAATCTTATCTTGTAAATATAAATTACTGCATATAGAATAAGCCCTGTGAAAGCAAACTTTAAATATTGCGTTTAGAATCTTAGGGTCATGATTTGAGTGAGGTTTAATTTAGATATTAGTTGTAACTTCCTTTCTGTAAACTTTAAACTCGTATTTTCCTTTGCTGTTATTTATTATAGTTAAATGGAGGAAGTTTAGAGTTCTATTTTCACTTTTAGTTTTGATCCTATATTGTATTGCAGGGTGCTGTTTGTTTAAGATTATTAGGAATTGTTCTGCTTCTTGAGTGTTGGAAAATCTAGTATGACTATCGTCAACATGTTGTAAAAATGATTTTGCAAGTACCATGAATGAAAGACCCATAGGACCAGAAATCTCAAGTTCATGGATTTTATTGTTCCACAGGAAATAAGAACAGCGTAAACAAAGCTGAGTTGTCTTGGTTCATTTATAGTAAGCTTGGTAGAATATTTGCGCGAATTATCCTTATTTAATTGGTCTATAAGAATTAAAGTGGCTTCCTTTAGTAGTATTGATGAAAACAAGTTTATTACATCAGATGAAACTTGAATCTTGGTTCTGTCAATCTCCCATATGTTTGCTTTACTAAAAAAAGAACTTTTCAGACGTGTTTGGTTTTTGTTTAAGAAAGGTTGTATTTTCTTTACTAAGTAGTTCGATATTCCATAATTAGAAATGCTGATAGTTGATATAACAATTCTCATAGGATAGGATTTTTCAGGTTTGTGAGCTTTATTTAGACCATATATACGAGGCGGGATAGGATCTTTTGTATATGTTTTTGTATATGCTCTGGCAGCCAATCTCCAACCTTTGTCACATCGTCGTAATGTTGCTTCTCTTTCTCTTTTCTACAAATACTATAATGGGCACTGCTCTAAAGAGCTAGCGTCCTTTGTGCCATCTACTAAAATTCATTCTCGTGTTACTCGCCATTCAATTAAGTCTCATCCTTTTTCTGTGACTGTTCCTAAGTGCTTCAAAAACTCTTATTCTTCTAGTTTTTTTCCTCGAACATCAGTTCTTTGGAATTCGCTTCCTTCATCTTGCTTTCCTGATTCATATAATTTGCAATCTTTTAAGTCATCAGTCAATCGTTATCTTGCTCTACAGATTTAGTCTTTTCTCTTCCAGTAACTTCCAACTCTTATAGTGGTTGCTTGCAGCCTTGTTGGAAGTGAAAATGTTGAAAAAAATATATATATATATATGTACTATCATATTTTGTTTTCAAAAATCGCTTTTTTATTAAGTTGTGAGAGATTTAATTTTAATAGCATAACTAGATATATATCGATAATTTTGTTTTCCTTAATTTCCATAAGAGCTTATTTTTGTTCTCTTGTTAAATTTTGATTTTTTTTTTTTACCCATTTTAAAACAGTTTTAAGTTTAAAACAGCGTTCTTTGTATGGGTTGTCAACTTACAGATTTTATTACTGTGATTATTTTTAAATTGGTTTTGCAGAATTTTAAACTTTTTAAATAATCTCTCTTTTGATATCAGAAACATTATTTTGCGAACTTTTTCAGTAACTTGTACAACTTTTTTTTAGTCTATTTCTTGAAGATCTTTCTGGAGATTTTTAGTTTGATTAAAAAGCATAAAATACTGTTTTTCAGCATCGTTTTTAATACAAATCAAAATTTGAAATCTATATCAAATAACAATGCTCACTCCTCTCTTTGTATTTACAGGACTGCTAATTCATTATGATTTCAGAATAAGCTTGTGTTTTTCACATTTTTATAAAAATATATACTTGATTGCGGACATTCTAATCAACAGAAACATTTTTAGTTTAATTTAAAATAAGTAATAGTTAAAAATAATAAAAAAGGATTTCTTTTAAACAAAAGATATGTGAAAAATTAAAAACAAAGCAAAAGAATCTTACGCTTTTACGAAATCTTGTAGTTTATATACTTAATAAATATATAATAGACTTATACTAAATAACATATGTTAGTGTAAGTATATATATACTTATAGAAATATAATATATCAATAACTTATATGCTGACATATATTTTAAGAAATATGTTGTGAAAATTGTGACATTACATTTTTTCTTTAGTTGAAAATAGTGACATTACATTTTTTCGTTTCTTGTTTGTGAGCACGCTTCCAAAAGTTTCAATTCAAAGTTAACAAATATATTTTTTATACTTATAATTTATTGGAACTTTTTGTCTTCAATTTTTTATTTTTGTTTCATTTTAACTTTTTTAATAAATAGACTTATCAGCTTAACTGATTTGAAAATATCAGTCAAAATATTGACTTTATTTTATTATATTTAACAAAAAATATTTGATATTCTATTGATTGATGTATTTGAATTTAAGATATATAAGTCATTAGAATGTGATTAAACCTGTACGAAATCAAAGCTATAAGTGAAGTTTTAGTTTGATGAACTTTTTACGCTAGATATTTATTTATAAGATATTTATAAACATTACGCTAGATGTTGTAACTGTAATTTAAAGGGATCCTAAACTCCCAACACATTTTGTGTTCATTTTAAAGATAATGTTAAAAAAAAGGTTTGAACCAAGTTTTTTGATAAAAAATAAATAACGAATGCATACCGAGAAAAACTAAAGTTTTTTGTTTTAGCTGAAGCTCGCCTTCCCCATTTTATTCAAAAGCTTGAAGTTTTTAAATTATACATCGCAATCTACAGACTTCGGTGATTCCTTTGACGCACATATAATTCATAAAAGTTTTAGTATTTGACATCACGGTAGACTTTTAGCAAATTTTGAAATTTTGGCAAACTCTGGAAAAGTTTTTATTTTTAATCATAAGTTTTTTCATTATTTGTTTGTTTATTTTTTATTTTTTTTAACATTTAAAAAGATATTATAAACCTCAAATATTTCATGCTCGTTTGTTGCAATAAATTATTATTGCGCTATATTTTATGGTATAATTGATGAAGTATTTATTATCTCAATCAAGATTCTGATAAAAAATTGTTTTATAATAATTACCCGAATAAAATTATTTACAGCATTTTTATTTGGTTAGACAATATTTCGTCTGAATTTGCTTTGCATGGAGTTTGGGAGGTCAAACAAAAAAAATTAGTTTGAATAATCATGTTGAAATATATTTAAAACAAATTATTTTAATGACGGTGGTTCTAAAGTTTTTTACAACAAAGGTAGGTGAAGAATAAACAACTAAATAAAAAAAAAAAAAAAGATGATTAATGCTAAAAAGTTTAGCATTAATCATCTTTTTTTTTTTTTAATATTGCAACTTTAAATATTAAAATATTAAAAACAATTTATCATTTTTGCTTTTTATAAAAATTTTTTGCGATGTTTGAAAAAATAATACAAATAAATTTGTTTTGCTGTATGTTAAAAAAATACAACATCGTACTTTTTGAATTAAAGTAGAAAAAAACGCTTTGTTTAATTACACTTTTGATTTGTTAAAATTCTACCGTGACGTCATATACTAAAACTTTTATGAATTAAACGCGCTTCAAAGGAACCGCCAAAGTCTATAGATAGCAACGTATAATTTGAAATCTCCAAGTTATTGAATAAAATGGAAAAGGCAAGCTTCGGCTAAAACAACAACTTTAGTTTTTCTCGGTAGGCATTCATTATTTATTTTTAATCAAAAAAACTTGGTTTAAACCTTTTTTTTAACATTATCTTTAATATGAACACAACATGTATTGAGAGTTTGGGATCCCTTTAAAAAAAAACATGATAAATTTAGCCTTTTTTTTTGATTTCTTATGTAAGTTTTAAATTCATTTATTATTTCCTGAAAGGTTCAATGAAGAGGAACTTGTGCAAGTAATTTATTTTCTGTGCAATACTTTTTTCATTCTGAAACTTTTGTTCTAGTTGATCAACTAAATAATCTAAAGAAGAGCTAATACAGAGGTCTCTTATAAAAGGTGACTATATATCTATCAGCTAAGAAAAGGTATAAAATGATAAGATAAATATCAGCTATAAAAGGTGACTATATATCTATCAGCTGTTTACATAAAGCTGGCAACTATTTCAAATTCAAATTATTCCAAAAACACCAGATACTCATTTGTATCCATTTAGTGACATTATTGCCACATTACATGAGCACGAGAGGGTTTTACTCCTATCTAGTAAATAAAAAAGATTAAATAAATTAGACTGTATTAATTGTTTTGAATATTAGCAACTAATTATTAATTAAAAAGTAAAAACCAAACCTAATAATTTAAGAGGTTTCTAACAAGTTTAGATTTTTAGATAATTAATTTTTATTATAGAAGTAATTATATTTTTTAAGCCCCCTGATGTATCACGAATATCCCCTTGTTATATTATGAAAGTCTTATGAAAAATTGTTCAACATTAATTATGTAATTCAACAAAGATCTTTGACTTTGAGATACAACACTCCTTAATTTGCCACTTTATTTGTGCCCCTACCAAGGTTAAAAACCAGATCAGCATGGGGGCAATCAACCATATCTTTCATTTGTTTAAGAAACAACTTATAATCAGATGTACCCATTAAATATGCTATTAGGCAGGTTAAGGGGGTGTTGGTTCCCAATAATGCGCTCAACTCTAGATAATTGAAAAATAAGATTATTTTAAAATGCTGCCATTTTTGTTGTGAATGCAACAAGTAAAAAATGTTTGCATTTTCAGATAGTTGGATCTTATGGTCTTAATTGCTGTTAAACTTAGATCAATACAAAATGTTAGAAAAAAATATGAGCATTTCAAAATGGCTGAAAATAGGACTTTTTTGGCAAATGAACAATACATTTTTAGATATATTTCAGTTCTAAACTGCAACAAACGACTTATTTTTTGCCTATTTGTTGCAGATAATAATAGCTAATCAGAAAACTAAACTGTAAGGACTTGTTGATGAATAGAAAACTACTACAGTTAACTTCATTTTGGCCTTTTTTAGCATTTTGCAATTTTTTTTCGAAGTTGAGGAGGCTATAAATTTTTTCTAATATGATACAAGTTAACAAAAAACAGTATTTTTAAAACAGAACTACCCAGAAAACACTTCTTAAAAAAAATGAGCTTCTTTTTGAAAGATAGAAAAAAGTTATGAGGCTTTAAAGTAGTCTGTTTTTACAATTCTTAAATCGAGGGGGGCCACTGTGCATTGTTTATAAAGCTATATTTTCTGAACTGTTGCATTTGGAAGTCTGAAATTTCAAATTTAATCTATCTACTTAATGTAGATAATGATATGTAAAAATCAGCAAAATCTGAGATAGTGCCCTGCAAAGTTTTCTCAAAATTAGTTGAAATATAATGATTTGACCCACTTTGTAATTTTGGGTAACTGTTGCTTTTTAACATTTGACTGTGTGCATTTAGTTCTACTCGCCCCCTCTCATTTGGTCTACTAGGATATTGGTGCACAACTTTTATAATAACACTATGAAACATAATTTTTGTTCAAAATAAGAAACACATTCATAAATATTTTTTAAATGTTTATGAATGTGTTTTTAAGTGTGTGCTGTTAGTAGTTAAAATATGTACAATAAACTCAGGATAACTCAATAAACCCCAATAATTTGAACTAATTTTCAAATTCCAGTTGAGCATTTTTTTTTTATGGATTTTACTCCAAATAATTCTAATATTTTTTAAAAAACTAATTTCTTTGTTTTTTGGAGGTGTGAATTATTTAGAATTTACTGTAAAATCTTATGCTATTTAACTAATTGTTGTAATGCTTTATGCTAATAGACTTAACGAACCTTCATGTTGGTGTTATTATTTGATAGACTGCCTGCCCAAACCAAACCCTCAGTTGATGTAGCAGCAATCCTTTGCAAGTCAGGCTATTTGTCAGTCGATGTAGCAGCACTCTGTTGCGAGTTAAGCTATAAGATGGTCGATGTAGCAACACTCGCGCATGATTTACAGTAAAAAAAATAAAAATAAAAACATTTTATTTAAAAATAATAACAAAAAAATTGTATATATTTTTAAAAACATTCAGAATGTTTTTAAAAACATTCTAGTTAAATGTTAAATATGTTATTTTGTACCAAAGAATTTTTTTAATTTTATCTCAAGAAAAATGTTTTTTATTTCTTGCATAAATAGTTATATTTTTTCTCTTTGAAATAATATTAGTTTGGATGTATTGCCATTTTCGCTTTGATTTTATATTTTTCTGTTATTTTATATGTGAATGGAATACATTTATACTTTAATCACTTGATTGATTAAGGATCTAGATATTTCCATTCCCGTTAAAAATGTTTTTGTAACGAGATTCGGTACAAATAAATAATTCGGTACATATATGGTTATTTAATATATATATATATATATATATATATATATATATATATATATACATATATTAAATAACCTTATATGACATAACTAGGATTCCTGACCTGTTTCTGTGTCTTCCTTCGCCTTTTATAGAAACCTTAATGAGAGGCCTTATAAATATTATTCAATAAAAATTTTTATTACAGCCTTAAATTTAATCGCAGCCTCCAAAAATACTGGAAATGTTTTGCAAATGTAACCTCTGTTAAAGATACTTGAGTTATGTAAACAATATTAAAGTAAATTTAATATGATTACATAACATATATTGATTTATTTTGCTGTAAAGTAAGATTTATTGAAGTAAAGAGAGCAAATTAAGTATTGATATAATCAGTTGTGGAACATAGTTATCATTGTACCCGTTTTGACAGCACTTTGTCAAGAATAATAACTTTTTAATTATATTTTTGAAAAAGTGTACCAGTAATTTTTTTATCTCAAGAAAATGTTTTTTGTTTCTCCTGAAATTTTATATTTTTATATCTTTAAAAATATTAATTTGTATAGATATAATCTTTACAGAAAATTTTCTATAAAATAAAATCAAACCGATAGAGTTATATATAACTTATTTAACATAACTAGGAACCGTGACCCATTTTCTGTGTCCTCTTTGGTATTTTTAATAAGTTTTAATGAGAGGATTAAAAAAAGTTTTTTTTACAAATCTTTTTGTTAAAATCTTAAGCTTCCTAAAACACCTGAAGAAATATTTTGTAACTGTCATCTATGTTTAAATTAACTAAGTATAGTAAATTAATTGTTAATCAAAAGCCAAGAATTTTAAATTGATTGAATTTCTGCTGTTTATTAAAGTTTATTGATGTAAGAAGACCAAATTAAAAACAAGTTCAGATATAGTCGGGTGTGGAACGGATTTACCATGACCTGTATCGTACAGGTCATGACAGCTAGTTGTGTAAAGATTATTTTTTTAAATTTTATTGCTGAAAAACTAGTTTTTTAATTAAAAATAAAAAAACTATTTTTATATTAATATTGATATAGATATTGCCATTAAAGTTAAATTTAGTAGCTTAAATGATGAACTTTGATATATAAAAATGATAATATTTCCGAAAAATGAGCCAATATTTGTTTTTTTCATACTTTAACATATTTTGTTAGATTGCATACTTTAACATATTTTGTATCATCTTCACTATCAACTTTTGCTTTTTTAGTAATGACTTCCTACTGTTACATTTAAGGTTATTAGGACTTTGGTAAAATTGTTTTACTTCTAGGACTTGACCTTTTTGTTTATATATATATATATATACTTTAAACCCTAAATATTTAGGCTGTAATAAATAAAATGTTTGAATAAAGGAGGGGGTGTTTATTCAAAAATTTTATTTTGTAAATAAATGAGATGACTGCTAATTTGAAAGTAATTAATGAAAGTCTGCATTTTTATTATTCCCAAAATCATATATATATATATATATATATATATATATATATATATATATATATATATATATATATATATATATATATATATACACTTACTAAAGCGTATTTTTATAAGCATTTGCTTAATTTTTTTGCTTACCTTAACCCATACAGCTTTTTTAGAAAAAGAAAAAAAATGAAGAATGATGAATGAAATGATTGCTGCCCCATCCCAAACCCTCAGTCGATGTAACAGCACTCCACTGCAAGTCAGGCTATTTGTAAGTCAATGTATGTACTGAAGCCCCCAGCAGCAGGCTATTTCAGTATGACGTCAGATTATTTACCTTAGCACACAATACTATACTATATATATATATATATATATATATATATATATATATATATATATATATATATATATATATATATATATATATATATATATATATATATATATATATATATATATATATATATATATATAAATATATATAACATATTTGTATAAACATAGCAATATATATAAATGTAACATAAATACAGTATATAAACTCAGCTATTTTATATATATTTACCTTGGGGGAGCAATTTCTTGGCATTTAACCATTAAATTTGATACACTTTCATTTTCATTTATGTCAACAATTATTTTTTTATCAAGATATTTAATATTTAACTTCATTTTGCATAAAAAATATTTTTCATCTAAATAAGAAGATAAAACCAAGAAACAAATTCAAGAATTGAAACACAAAAAAATTGAATCACAAAAATTGAAACACACAAAAAAAATTAAAACAATAAATCTAGTTAAAGCAAGGGATTGGGAAAGTAAGATTAAATAGGGAAATCGGTGTGAAAAAAAAATATATATATATTTCAAATTAAATAAACTTATATCTAAGCAAGTAAATGTTAAAAGTCAGATGCTAAATCAAGGGAGAAAAAAAGAGAAACATTCAAAAGACTGAAGAAATTACTTGAAAATAAGAATTAATCAGTATTTTCTTTGACTTTGCAATTATTATAGATATATAATTAAGTTTTAGCTTGATTTGAAATTTAAATTCTGCTAGATTTCCAAATAGATCTATTTCATTTAAAGATAACACAATTTTATCTGTGAATCAAGTAATGTTTTTAATGTAGAAGAAGTTTCAATGCTTAGTGATGCAATGTCAAACTGTTCTAATGTTACTAGTGGCATACCAAAAGGAAACATGCTCAAACCACTTATGCATATAATCTTACACAAACAATCTTTAAGAGGCCTTTTGGTATTTAGTTACAATATATCAATCAGAACAATTGGAGATATGCATTAATGTAAATGGTCTGAAAGTGATCTTGGTGTTAAAATAACTTCTAATATCAATTGGCACACTCATGCATTGAAGTATGCTTCCAAACAGATATCTTTGAATGGATAAAAAATGCTTTAATAAGCAGAGTAGCTTAAAGAAAAATCTACACACAACTTACAATCAAACTCATCTAGAGTTAAATCTAGTAGCAAATTTTAGATCATGTTTTGCATTGTAATAGTTTTTCAACAAAATTATCCACATTTTTGAGCATTTTTTTTTGGACAGGTTTTAAATAAATTTGGATTTGTGGCCTAAAGTACCAAAATATTGCAAAAACTCAATGTGCTACAGACTTTTCCTTACAGAAAAGTTTATAACTACTTTTGTATACTGAGAACTGCTTGTGGCATACAGAACAACTGCTTGTAATATACAGAACAACTGCTTGTGGTATACAGAACAACTGCTTGTGACAAACAACTGCATTGTTTTATATAGTATGTCACTGCTTGTGACGTACGACTGCATTGTTTTATATAACTCATAACAGTCTTAGCAAAATCACAAGCAATAAAACTCTTAAACAACAAAACTCTTAACAGAATAGGTTTGACATATGACTTTATTGAATGAAACTCAACACTAACTTGATATAACTTACCTATTTTTAACTAAATTTATTTGTATACAATTATCTAACATTGTGGTTAACAAATAAAGTAATAAAAAAGCATCATTACCATTACAAATTTGGTAATCATTACAAATCATAGCATATACAAATTATAGTATTAATAATCATTAAAGTATACATTTACATGTCTGAAAATAAAATTTTATGTTTTTTTCAGAGATGAACATTTGTTGTGCTCTGAGTTTCTGATTTGTAATAGCTACTTGTAGATTAGTAACTAACTTTCCCTCTTTTTTATAAAACATAATATTATATTATTTTCATCAATTCATTAGTTAGATATGAAATATAGATTAAAATGCAGTTCTGACAATATATATTACAAAGGCATTCATTGAGTCTTTGTATTTAAAATAATTAAACCAAAAGTTGCCAAAAAAAGCAAAAACTTTTACCTCTTTGAGTGAAATTTAAAGCAAAATGAGTTAAATTTAAAGCAAAGCTTTAAATTTCACTCATTTGATATGAACCTTTATTAAGGTGGTAAAAATTTTTTTAGGGTGCTTGAATATATGTTCAAGCATCTTGGGTTCCCAAGATGCTTTAACATATAATGAGTTCCAAAAAAAAAAAAAATTTGGGTCACGTTGGTTTTCAAATCAAGTGAATATAAATGAAAATTTTAAAACTATATTATTTAAAAATAAACGTTAGATTTAACAGCATAATAAATTAAGTTCATCAACTAACAAAGAAAAAAGTGCAATTTTACCAATTTTTTAAACAATATTTTTTTTAATAAGTTTTTTATCCTATATAATACTTCTGAAGTTTAAGAGAAAAATCAATTGATTAATTTAAAAAAGAAAACATAATTTTTAAAGAGATTAGAAAACCTTAGTGGAGCTTAATTAAGACAACTTATTTTTAAGAATATATATTTTTTAAATTCTTTAAATAATATTTTTAATAATTGAATAACAAATCAAAAATTAGAAAAAAAACTGCATCATATTTATATTAATAATCATTGTACAATATAAAAAAATAAAAACAATTATGCTTTAAATTATTTTTTATTTCTATTTTAATTTAACAACTTTTTTTTATATTACTTAAATATCTGACTCCAAAGATCCCAAAAGCATGAACACGTCCAAAAAAGATAAAACATCCCTGAACAACACACTCTATCAATACAAAACTCTAAAAACAACTACTGATTCTAAATAATAAACAAAACAAAAAAAAGTAAGAAAAAATAAAATAAAATAAATAAATATAACAATAAATAACATAATTTTTTTTTGTAGCATAGATATAAATTTTTTTTATAATATGTAAAACTTACCAAAATAAATGTCATATAACATAACAAAATATATAAATCCTTTGTTGTATATATTGCTAATATGTTACATAAAAAAATTAAATTACATAAATTTTACATAACATTTTTATGCAATGTCAATTTTATTTTAAACTTTTTACTATTATAATATAAAAAATTAAAAAAAACCATAACAAAAAATATATGAAAATCAAAAAAAAAAACATTCTTCATTATCCATCAATCGAATTTGTAGACAATATTTCAGTGGTGGCAGCGAGAAGAGCTTTATGGTAGTTATTTGCAAAATAATACATTAAGAAACCCCATTTCCAGGTCATAAATCCCCATACAGTTACAATAAACTTTCCTTTCACTTGAACTCCTATAATATATATTTTAGATTGAAAATTATGAATATTTTATACAATTAAATTAAAAAAAATTTTTAAAATATTGAACTAAAAAAACTCAATATAGCAATTAATGAAAACAACACCTAAAAAAAGTGTGAATGTAAAAAACTTTTTTACTTTTAATTTTACCAATTTTTTTAAAACAACTTCAAACTTGCATGAAAGAAAATTTCAATACAACAGGCCTTGTTTTAAATAAAAAATACTTAATGCATTAGCTTAACGCAATATTTGACACCATAAAATTACTTTATTTTTTATTTTTTAAAGACAGTTTTTTAAATTACTGCAATAATATTAATTAACGCAAAACGAGTTAAATGTTATTTAACAACTTTTTTATTATTACTATAGCAGAATGTTTATTCATTTATTTTTTTTTTCCAATATCATCAATCAAATTTAATATTGCATTTTTAAAAATGTTTGATATTAACAAATCTTTCTTTTCTTCTTTCTTTTCTCAACATTTGCATAAATAAATTAGAATATGTTAAATTTTTGAATTTTTAAAATGATTATTTTCTAAATTTCTAATTGGGGCTTCGGAACTACAAATGATTTTATATGTTAAAATAATTAGTGAGTAACAAATAAAAAAATTATGCTAATTTATTTACTTTATTAAAAGTTTATTGGTTTATAATTTTATTATTAAAATTATATTTAAGTATGTATCATTTATTAAAAAATAAATGCTGCAATTTAACTTGTGTTATGAAAAAAAAAAATTTAATTATGTTTTGTGCAAATTTTTGATGCAGCCATTTATTTAAAATTTAATTTTGAGTAAAAAAAAACTGAAATGTTTAGGAAGGAAAAACAAAAAAAAAATTGCGATAAAAATGAGCTAATTTTTTTTTAACAACAAATAAAATTTAAATATTGAATAATATTTAGTAATATTTTTAAATAAATTTGATCCGAGCATTAACTTTAATTTTAATAAACTTAAATACATTTTTTAAATCAAAATTAAATTATGTATTTTTAAAATCTAAATTAAATTATATTTTTTATTATGAAAAAAAAAAATTAATTGTTTTGTGCAAATTTTTGATACAGCCATTTATTTAAAATTTAAATTTGAGTAAAAAAAATGAAATGTTTAGGAAGGAAAAACCAAAACACAATTGCAATAAAAACGAGCTAATTTTTTTTTAACAACAAAAGCATTAACTTTAATTTTAATAAACTTAAATATATTTTTTAAATCAAAATAAACTCAATTATGTATTTTTAAAGTCTAAATTAAATTATATTTTTTATAAAAATTAAATTGTTTTTAGCTTCAAGCTTAAAAAATCAATCATTACAATAAAATAAAAAATAAAAAAAAATAAACTTTTAATTTTATTTGAGTTTTTTCATTACAAAATAGCACTTATATCAAACATATTTGTCATTCAAACTTTTGTAACAAATATTTTTACATTAATGTCATTCAAAAGTTAACGTGACTTGTTTTAAAATTAATTACTTCTTTTATCTTATGGCTTATAGAATAATTTAAAAGGTAAAAAATGATAATAAGTCGCTTAACCAAAATTGTTTACTGTTAAATAAAATTGCTTAAGACATACATAAATTCCACTACGCGTAACACTTTTAAACAAGGCCTGATACAAGGTTGTTGATATTCTGATAACAACTTTATACTAAGTTACATTGAAAATTAAATATGCTTTATACAATAGTGGTAGAGCACTTGCATAATAAGTGAGAAGTTCCGAGTTTGGTCCCTACCACATTCCTGGAAGCACTGTGCTTAACTTGTTTGACAAGGTTGTGCTTTGGGGTTATAGAGTTTCTCTGTGAAGAGGCCTTGTTCGTCAAGGTTGTGTTTTGGAGTTATAGAGTTAAGAGAAGACTGTCTTCATGGCCTTGGGAGGTGATTAAAATTTAAAAAAAAAAAAAATTGTATATAAATTTATATATTATTATTATTAATATTATTATTATTATTATTAATAATACTATATTATAGTATGTGCAATGGTGTGCCAATCCTTTTTTTTAAGACTAGCAGTGTAACTTTTTTTACTGATTTTGTTTTCTGATTATAAGATTCATTGTTATTTTCAGCAACAAAATTTAATTCAATGATCAAAACAGATTTCATGTAAAAAAAAAATTAAAAAAAAAAAATTATACTTAACATACAATCTAATAAAGATTTTCATCTGCCAATAATCAAAAGATATTAGGTCATTATTTAAGCTAGAATTATGAGAAATTTTAAAATAATGTTTTGAATGTTTGTGAAATATTTTAAATTTTTATCTTATAGATTTCATCATATTTATACTTATAATGAACTATTATTTTAAAAGAGAAAAAAAGAAGATATTCAAAGAAACAGTAGAAACAGTACATTTCAAAATTCTTTATACAGAGATGCAAAAAAAAGCTCACAGGAAAAAAGGTTAAGGTAACAAGAAACAAATTGGTTGGCTTAACAATTGAATAAATCCATAATAGTTGACATAAATTTTAATTTGTAGAAAATTTTGGGTGCTTTTTTTTATAAAAAAAGTATTATAACTTTGTGGCGTTCCTGAGTAGGTTTGTATGTGTAGGTTGGTTAAGATTGACCAATTAACCCCTTTACAGTGAAACACTTTTTTTATGGCAGGTCTTTTCTAATTTAATCCATTATTTTTGAATACTTTTTTTATTCTTTCTGCTCAACTGTGAAAAATTCCAAACTAAAAAATTAATTCAGTTTTCCATAAGATGCCAGTCTTCAAAAAAAAGCATACTTATCAAAGGCTATATCTCTCCTTCACATACAGGTTTCACTTTACTTTCGACAGATATAACCGTCATTCACTGTTAAGGGGTTATGATGAAATCTGAGTTTCGGAAATAAGACTTTACAGGATGAATTTTGAAAATACTAAAATTTCATAAAATTTTAATTTTTAATTTTTGTATAAAATTTATTTTTGTTTATAACTTAAACTTGCTTTTTTGACCCATATAAATTTAAAGAAATCCCTAACTCCCAACACATATTGTGTTCATATTAAAGATAATGTTAAAAAAAAAAGGTTTTAACCAAGTTTTTTTGATTAAAAATAAATAATGAATGCATACCAAGAAAAACTGATGTTGTTGTTTTAGCTGAAGATTGCCTTCTCCACTTTATTCAATAATTCAGAGTCTTCAATTTATACATCGCAATCTACAGACTTCAAAAATTCCTTTGAAGCGCGTATAACTCATAAAAGTTTTAGTATTTGAAGTCAAGGTAGAATTTTAACAAATGAAACTCTGGAAACATTTTTATTCAAACTTTTTTTGATTATTTGTTTAGTTATTTTTTTTTTCTATTTTAAACATTTAAAAAGATATTAAAAACCTCAAATATTTTATGCTGGTTCATTGCTATAAATTGTTATTGCGCTATATATTTAATGTTTATAAATTATGAATATTTATTATCTCAATCAAGACTTTGATAAAAAATTGTTTTTCTTTAATTACCCATATAAAATTAGTATGAATAATCATGTCAAAATATACTTAAAACAAATTATTTTAATGACGGGGGTTCTAAAGTTTTCTATAACAAATGTAGGTAAAAATAAATAACTAAATAAATAGTTCAACAATAAACATCATTTTTTTATTATATTGCAACTGTAAATATTGAAATATTAACTTGAAGTAAATTTACTTATTAATTAGAACGACTAAGCAATAAAAATAAAAAGCCCCTATTATGCCATATTGAGTTGTTTATTTGATAATTGTTGTTGCTAATGTTGTTTATGTTGATTATTTTCATTAATACCAAAATAGTCCCAGATTAATCTGTTAGTTACTTTGCTCATTGTTGGTTTATTTATAATTTAATTTTATCTCTAAGTTTAACTTTATGTTAAGAAAAAAAAAGTTTTTATTTTATCTTGAACTCTTTTTATAAGAGTAGAACAAAAGAGAAAAAAAAAGTTTTGTATAATTAAACTTTAAACAAATTTTTTTATAGAATAAATATTTTTTGCATCACTCATTATTTTTTTAGATAAGAGAAATAAAAGTTTAATAGAAACTTTTTATTGAATAAATGAAAATTGGAAGAGAAAATTGCTTGAAAACTTGTATTTGTTAATTGTGTTTTTAAAATTTTTTAATTTTTCATGTTAAGAGACAAATGCCAAATACAACACATAAATTGGGAAATACCAAATACAATATGTTTTTTATAACATGCGTTATGACATTTTGAAAATAATTTTTTTGGCATTTGTTGATAGCAAACGATTTTGCTTTTTCTCGTAAACTATACCTGCTTCTGAAAATAGCCATTCACTATATACACTACTACCTGGAGATGATAAGTAAATCTTAGCAAATTCTACTTGTAAATAAATGAATTGCATTTAGTAAATTTAAATCATTTATTAACAAATTTCAGTGACATTTATATAATAAATACATTAACTACTGACATAAACTGAAAACAATGCATTTATTACTAAATACTCTAAAGCTTTAGCAAACAATGTAATTTCCACTAAATGCTATATTCTATAACTATAGAATTACAACTTTTTGTATATGTATCTTATGTAACAGGTTGCAAGAAATACAACCTGTAAGAAACAAAGTTTGATGTAACAAATAGTCCACAAATAACATAACAAAACACACAAATAAAACAAATACACATAATTACCCGTAGGGTGACTACGGCATTAACATTACTAATTCAGTTTAAAAACTGTCACCCATGAAATTTTCTAAGTACTACCAAATATTCAGCTATTCGGCAGAGGGTCAACCTGAATATTCGGTATTCGGCAAAATCACTATTCGCAGCATCTCTACTTATAATCAAAATTTATAATGCCAACTTAAGTTGCTGTTAACTATACTTTTAATCCAAAACCAGGATCTCTCATATCCTTTTACGAATTTTCATTTCTGATACTACTGTCAACTGTATTGTTTAGTATATTCTTGTACGTTTTTTTCATAAACTTAACAGGTTCTAATTGGAATGGAGTTGCCGACATTTTAAAAGTTTCGTTATCACAAATCAAATGCAAAATAAAATGATATTTCCTTTATATCCATTTTCAATTCAGCAAATTTAGCAATTTAAATTAAATCAGCATAATCAAAAATTTTTTATAATAAAAAAATTTAACAGCTCATCAAATATCTCTAATTAATACTGTCAGTTAATGAAAGTAATTGTTAATACTTTTTTTTCGACAGGAAAACAAAAAATGTCATTGCGTAAAAATGACCAGATAAGTTAGAAAATAGTTCCCATTGTTTAAATGAAAATAAGTAAGATTCAGAATATATAATACTGCGCTCTCTTGCACAAAAACAAGAAACCATATATAACGTTCTATATAATGTAAAATACCCGTATGAAAATCACAACATTGGTAAGTAAAGCTTTAATATTTGTTTTAATTTAAAGAAATAACTAAGATATATAAATCTAAAAAGATATCTGTAAAATATAAGTTGCTTCTATAACAAAAAAAAAAAAAATTATTATTTTTACTATTTACAAAATTTTTGCAATGTTTGAAAAAATAATACAAATAAATTTGTTTTGCTGTATGTTAAAAAATACTACATTGTACTTTTTGAAATAAAGTAGAAAAACGCAACTTTGTTTAATTACACTTTTCATTTGCTAAATGTCTACCGTGATATCAAATACTAAAACTTCTATGATTTAAATGCACTTCAAAGGAATCGCCGAAGTCTGTAGATTGCGACATATAATTTGAAGACTCCAAGTTTTTGAATAAAATGGAGAAGGCAAGCTTCGGCTAAAACTACAACATTAGTTTTTCTCGGTATGCATACATTATTTATTTTTAATTGAAAAAACTTGGTTCAAACTTTTTTTTTTAACATTATCTTTAATACGAACACAACATGTGTTGGGAGTTTGGGATCCCTTTAACTCATTAAATATAGCTTTTTTTTTAATTCATAGTTTTATTTAAAAACTAACACTGTTTTTTTCCAATTTTTTTAAACTAGAGGTGTCCCGGATAACATTTTTTTATTATCCGACTGAATATGGAATACTCAGATATTCAAAAATTATCTGGCAGAATAATGTAATTCAAATCCTAATACATATTTCATTATGGCAAAACATTACTGTGATAAATCTTCAAAATGGCAAGTTTTGTTTGGAAGCTTTTCAAAATAAATGACAGCTGTTATATCACAGCAGTTTGCATTCCATGTGAAAAGCAGATAAGCAAGGGATGTTATAAATCTGGTTGAAAGTCATTTTGCACAACTCCACTGCATAATCACACCAAAAAAATTTCAATGTAAATTGCATAAAGAGGAAGAAAAAAATTAATATTGAATCTTCTTTAGCTGCACAAGTAAGTTTAAAATGCATTAAATTCTGATCAAGTCTCCTTTTTAAAAGCTGCTCAAGGAGTTGATGTTTTCTTTAATCACTTGATTATATAAAAAAATAATGACGTTTTGAATTATTAGAAACATGAAAATAAGTTTCCACTGCTAAAAGAGTTAGCACTTAAGTTAGTAGTACCACCTGCATCCCTGTATTTTTTAAAAGATTGTTTACATTATTTATGAGAAAAAGAAATCAAGACTAGAAATGTTATTATCTCCATTTTGTGGTTAAAGAAATACAAATGAGTGACAAACTGATGTATTTATTGTGCATATATAATTTTAGAATTAATATTTTTGTAATAATATTAGTAACAACAATATTGAATAAAAACCATTAACATTAGATTATTTAAAAATATAACATTTCTAGATTTATTTCAATTTTCAAATGACATTAACATGAAATATCTGGTACATAAAAAACTGGATAAAGTTATTATCTGGCCAGATATCGGATACAGAATAATACTTATATCTGACCCAGATATCCGTCCGGATAGCTTATCTGGGACACCCCTAGTTTAAACTTTGTTTTTTCCTTCAACCTTGTTATTCATTTATTATATATAGTTAATAGTATTTTGCTTAGTGCAATAGTATATTGTTTAGTGCAATACTATTTTGTCTAGTGCAATAGTACATTGTTTAGTGCAATACTATTTTGTTTAGTGCAATAGTATATTGTTTACTGCAATACTTTGTCTAGTGCAATAGTATATTGTTTACTGCAATACTATTTTGTCTAGTGCAATAGTATATTGTTTAAAGCAATACTATTTTGTTTAATAGTATTAGTAATTTATTATTAGTATAAGTATCACAAAAAAAAAAGTAGAATAACTATTACTTTTGAGTATTAAACTAAACTAAATAATAAATAATAAAATTGAACTAAATAATAAATAATAAAATTAAACTAAATAATAAATAATAAAATTGGACTAAATAATGAATAACAAAATTAAACTAAATAATGAAAATAAAATGACTTTTTACTACTAAATTTCAATTAAACATTTTTTTGATGTAGAGAAAAAAACATTCCATATTAGTTTAACATAATTGCTTGCTAATATTTTATCCTATTAAATCCACTTGGCTGCAAAAAATGTAATAAAAAAAACTGAAAACAAAAAAATAATCACCTGATTCTTTGTCAATAATTCCTTTAATAAGGAATCCTACAATTACACCAAAACCAATTACTGCAAAGATTATTCCAACTAGCATACATAACAAAAATCTTTTAGGGGAAATGGAATATGTCACATCTCGTCGCACGACAAAATGCAGTATAAGAACAATTAATGCCAGTATAGAAGAAGTAAATGCCCAGATCGAGCAATGAATGTTATGAAAAACCCATGCAAAGCTTACACCTGCCGATGCACCAACAACAACTCCAATAAAAGCTGATATTAGCCGAAAATAAAACCAAAATCCAGTGGGATGATAATTTCTCATTATTGATATTTATTACACTAAAACCATTTAATTAATTAATATCATTTAATAGCAATGTAAAACTATAACAACAATGACAAAATAGTAATAAATAATCACTAATATACGATATATGAGGAAGTGCAAAAAAATCACTAATATAAGGAATCTATGATCTATGAGGATCTATAGATCTATGAGGAAATGCAATTTTTTGCAACATTTTTTACTAACTTTTGATATATTTTACACTTTATTTCATTGCTTTTATGTTGGAAATAATTTATGTTTTAACATTTAAATTTTAATTAAAATATTTTATTTACTTTACGTATTTTTATTACATATTCATTTAATATTATAAATTATAATCTATTTATTTAGAAAAGCATAAAAATAATAAATGAAAAAGAAGATTTTAATTTTTCTAAATATTTCTAAAAGATTCAAATAAATTTAAGGATGTTAAGAAAAAAAAAAAAAAAAGTTTAACTTTTTTTTTTTAATGTTTAAATACAATAAAAAGGTTAACTGAAATAAAGTAATAAGAATTTTATTGATTATTATACAATATGTTAATGGTTACCATGATCATGGTTACCATATTGGTGTTTAACCACCACTTTCTGAGTTTATAAATAATGTCAACTATGTTTTTGTTGGATAGCACAACAAAGTGTTATGTAACTAATCTTTTTCATTTTCTGATGCTTTTTCTTCTTTATCTGTAATCATTTGCTCTGTTGCTTCTAAATTGATTGCATCGGACTCATCTTAAATAAAAATTAATTATGCATCAATAATAATAAAAAGAATAGTAGAAATAATGAAAACAATGTATAAACATAAAACTTGATAGAGGTCAATATTTTTTAATTTTATTAAATTTCTAATGATTGACAAAAATGTTTCACTTCCTAATTGGAGCCAGTTTTCAATTAGTTTTCATGTTGTTTGTCACTTTTCATGACATTGAAATTGAAGCCATTGAACTTGTAAGACACTTTCATTGTATTTGTTATAGCTTGATTTGTTGAGGTTGTTGTTTGAGGTTGTTGTTGAGGTTGTTGTTTGAGGTTGTTGTTGAGGTTGTTGTTTGAGGTTGCTGTTTGAGGTTGTTGTTTGAGGTTGTTGTTGAGGTTGTTGTTTGAGGTTGCTGTTTGAGGTTGTTGTTTGAGGTTGTTGTTTGAGGTTGTTGTTTGAGGTTGTTGTTGAGGTTGTTGTTTGAGGTTGTTGTTGAGGTTGTTGTTTGAGGTTGTTGTTTGAGGTTGTTGTTTGAGGTTGCTGTTTGAGGTTGTTGTTGAGGTTGCTGTTTGAGGTTGCTGTTTGAGGTTGTTGTTTGAGGTTGTTGTTTGAGGTTGTTGTTTGAGGTTGCTGTTTGAGGTTGTTGTTGAGGTTGCTGTTTGAGGTTGCTGTTTGAGGTTGTTGTTTGAGGTTGCTGTTTGAGGTTGTTGTTGAGGTTGCTGTTTGAGGTTGTTGTTTGAGGTTGTTGTTTGAGGTTGTTGTTTGAGGTTGTTGTTGAGGTTGTTGTTTGAGGTTGTTGTTTGAGGTTGTTGTTTGAGGTTGTTGTTGAGGTTGTTGTTTGAGGTTGTTGTTGAGGTTGTTGTTTGAGGTTGCTGTTTGAGGTTGTTGTTGAGGTTGCTGTTTGAGGTTGCTGTTTGAGGTTGTTGTTTGAGGTTGTTGTTTGAAGTTGTTGTTTGAGGTTGTTGTTTGAGGTTGTTGTTGAGGTTGTTGTTTGAGGTTGTTGTTTGAGGTTGTTGTTTGAGGTTGTTGTTTGAGGTTGTTGTTTTACGTTGTTATTTGAGGTTGTTGTTTGAGGTTGTTGTTTGAGGTTGTTGTTGAGGTTTTTATTTGAGGTTGTTGTTGAGGTTGTTGTTTGAGGTTGCTGTTTGAGGTTGTTGTTGAGGTTGTTGTTTTGAGGTTGTTGTTGAGATTGTTGTTTGAGGTTGTTGTTTGAGGTTGTTGTTTGAGGTTGCTGTTTGAGGTTGCATGAGTAAGAGTAAGTCAGATGAGTTTTGTTTTTTAAATAAATTATTAAATTACTAATCAAACATAAGAGTTAAAAGTTCTTGGCAACGATTCAAAATTGAATTAAGGAAGTTGAGTTGAAGTCTCTAATAATTAGGAACTGAAATATTTCTGCCATTATTATTATTCGAAATTTAATGATAAAATAAATTGAAATATTTAGCTCTCAAATTGATGTTTTATATTAATAAATTAACTAATTAATAAATTATATACATGCATTAGAGATCACTCTTAAATAATAATAATTAAAAATAATGAAAATAATAACAACATACTTAAAGCACTATTTTCAGCTATTATAAGGGTAGAGTTTTTATCCAGCTTCTCATCAAATGTTTTATCATTAGTTGATAAACTACTGTCATGGTTTTGTATTTTACAACTTTCAGAATTTGAATTGTTTTCAATTAACAAGTTATCATTTTGAAACTCTGTCTTTGGATTTAATATTTTATTTGACTCATCGAAAGTGCAAACCGTATCACTTGGCGTTTGATATTCAATAGTTTTTGACTTATTAATAGCTTCAGATTGTTGAGCATTAGCAAAGCCATTAACACAGAGATTTCCAATATCATAAAATGAATGGCTTAGAGTAAAAAATCAAATCATTAGAAAATATTAATAGTCTTAAAATAAATATTACAAAAAAAAAAATTACAAAAAACATTAAACATAAGTGGAGTCATAACAACTAAAATAAGAACATAAACTAAGGTTATTAAAAAAAAAATTTTATTAATATAAATTATGCCAACATAAGTTAATGAGATGAATTATAGAAACATAAATGTTAGATGTTAACTTATGGTATGTTAAAAAAAAAACATAAATTGTAATAGTATAATTAGCATAAATTATACCAACATTAATGCAATGTTTTATGGTTTTGTTTATTAATGTTAGAATTAGTTATTTTTTACCTCTTAAATCTATTATTTTTTTTTTGTTGTTAAAATTAATTTATATTATATAATTAAATTTATTATTATTTTAATTTCTTTTAAAAAATAAGTGGTTTAACACTTATCTTTTTAAATATTACCATTTAAATTTAACAAAAATTTAAAGGGATCCCAAAGTGCCGAGACATGTTCATATTAAAGATTAAAAAAAAAAACTTTAAATTTTGATTTAAGATTGATTAAAACAAAAGATTCAATGCATACCAAAAAAACCTAACTTTTTTGTTTTAGTCAAAGCTCACCGTTTCCTTAAGTGCTGAAGGTGCTATATATATATATATATATATATATATATATATATATATATATATATATATATATATATATATATATATATATATATATATATATATATATATATATATATATATATATATATATATATATATATATATATACATTAGGAAGCAAAGCTCACTTATTGATCGTGTTATCTTTATTTGGTTATTATAAATTTTATATAAGTTTATATCAGGCTATCTTCTACATTAAATTATTTGCAGAAGGGAAAACCCAAATGTAACATTTATAACTTGATATTAAGTTATTTGTATTGACATCATTTAATAATTATAAAAGCACATTAATCAGAACAGATCAGACCAGTATTTTTTTTTAAAAAAATACTGGTCTAATCTGATGTAATTTGTTGACGCAATTACAATTTATTTGTTGTAAAACAAAACATACAAAAAAATTTAATTCAAACAAACAAAAAAATAATAATAAATAATAATAGTAATATTCATTTCGAGAGCATAAATCAAAGTAAATAATGAGAATGAAAGTTTTTTAGGAACTTTAAAATTAAACTCAATATCTATATATAATATATATATATATATATATATATATATATATATATATATATATATATATATATATATATACACACACATATATATATATATATATATATATATATATATATATATATATATATATATATATATATATATATATATATATATATATATATATATATATGTATATATATATATATATTTATATATATATATATATATATATATATATATATATATATATATATATATATATATATATATATATATATATATATATATATATATATATATATTCGATAGAGAGTTAACATATTATATTATCAACTATAATATTTTTTTTTCTCTATTCTGTAAATTAGTGGTTTAATTGAAAATACATGATAAAAGTTTGGAATGCCTTACAACAATTAATAAATTTTGCAAATGGAAAAAAAATTAATATTAATTATTAAAAAAAAAAAAACACCAAAAAAACTTGTAACTTTTTTTCTAAAAGTAAAAATTCTTTTTAATTTATATGCCAATATTATTAATTTATTTAGTCTTAGCTTTAAATTTATCTTATCATCAAGCAAAAAACTTACCTGAGAGATTTAATTCCTGCTTCTTCAGCAGAAACAGGCTCTATTGTGGTTTGAACAAATATATTCTAAAATAAATACGATTTTAAGTTTTTATATAAGCATAAAGAAGAGGAGTATGGGCCTTGGCGGGAAGCAAGAGCTTTAGCTGTCGCTCTCGCCCACACTCCCCTAAAACAGTTTACGGGAGCAATTTACGGCTCTCGCAAAAGTATATTTCTTTTTCTCAAAAGTTTAATTACATTGTAACTAAAAAAAAAAAGCAGTCATTTTAATGATTATCTTTAACAATTCTTAAAATCCCTGCATTCTATTACAATAAGAAAATACTAAACTTTTTTTATAAGCAATAAAAATTTAAAAAATTTAAAAAATTTCATTTAAAAAGTTTAGTGAAGCAGCTCGCATAGCTTGCCATTTTTGTTTTAGGAGAGCTTTTCACTGCTCTTGCACTCTCTTCTTCCCGCCGAGGCCTGTGTGTGTGTGTGTATATATATATATATATATATATATATATATATATATATATATATATATATATATATATATATATATATTATATATATATATATATACACACACACAGTGATGAACCCAGAGTTTTTGTGACAGCCTTCCCCCTACCTCTGCCCAGGTAAAACTAATACCTAATATCACTTTGTATGTGATCACCTTGTTTGCTCGGTGTAGTTAAGTCGATTTACAATACTCAAATACTTCAATTTGGAATTAGCATGGTTTTGTCAGCATATTATGTCCAAATGTTATAACTTTTTTTGCTCAAGGTTTTTATAATATTTAAAGAAACATTTCTTTTTTATATATAACTTTAAAAATTTACTACCAGTAATAGTGAATCTAAAGAACACTATTTTGGAGTCTTTAGATCAATTCCAATCATCTGCATTAACATGAATTTAGTTAAAATCTTTTAAATAAGTTCCTTAATTTACTACTGATCCTAGTATTAATTGGTTCTGAAATATATTAACTATATATAGTTATCAAAACACAATATTTCTATCAATTTTCACAATACTAAAATTCCGACCGAGCTTATAATTATGAAAAATTGCTAATAAACGATCAGAACAGATCATATCATGAAACTATAAAGTCTATTTCACCTAAAAAACGTATTAATATAAAATCTTATTCAAATTTGGACGAGCAATTGTAATTTTAAGATTATTTAAAAAAAAAGAAAAGAATCTACAGTCTGGGTTTTTTCGCTACAAACATTTATATTTTATGATACCGCAAAATTTATCATTTTTTACTCTTTTCATAATTCACAGACCAGACCATTTAACAGAAATATGTTGTAGTCAACAAAATATCATACAGACACTATAATATTTAAAAGTGCCTTAACTACAGTAGTACAGAGTAGTCGTTCTATCTTTCAAAAACATAAATTTTTCATACAATCTATTGCCTTTTATTGAGTTTCACAATAAATTTTAAATAATTTTTTAAAATCTAATGTTCAGTTAATAATTTAAATGATGATTTTGAACATTAGCACATAATTACTTTTTAATCGATTTTATTATCCAGAAGAAAAATGAGCTTGCTAAAAGAAACAGAAAATTAGTTATTTACTATTTGCATTTAAAACTTAACTTTTTTCTTCCTATTTTTGAAAAAAAAGCAAAAGAATCAAAAAGAAGGAAAATATAAAGAAGCAAAAGAAAAATAACAAAAAAAAAATTTTTAGGCCCTTTTATTTGAGCACCCATATTGCTCCAGTGGTACCAAAATAGGTCTGGGTTCTTCCCTGAAATATCTGTGTGTGTGTGTGTGTGTGTGTGTGTGTGTGTGTGTGTGTGTGTGTGTGTGTGTATATAGGCTTGGCCAGGAAGGCGTGCGATTTCACGTCATAATATGACCACGCAAATATTATTTGATTTTACAAACATTTAACCTGATAAAATGTTTTCAAAATTTGTATACGTTTTAAAAGCGCGCTAAAAAAATAAAAATAAATCTTAACTATAAAGAAACTTAAAAAAAAACTTATCGTTAAAGAAGCAAATAAATCTTCGTAAAAAAAAAACGAAAAACAAAATTAAATAACTTAACTAAAACTAAAATAGCTAAAATAAAATAAAAACTTAATTGAATTAAATAATAAACTATAACAATAAGATTATCTAAATTATGTTTGAAATAAATAACTTTGAAATGTTTATCTTTACTTACAACTGACAATTATTTAATAAACACGCACATTTAAAAGTTTAAAAAGATTTCCTTAACAATTCTTCGCAAAAAAGAAAAAATAGTCAAATCAATTATTTAAAAAATTGATATATACATTTTTTTAATTTAAAAACATTTATAATAAAAAATAAATATATATTTTATATATTTATATATATAATTTTTTATATATTTATATATAAAAAATAATATAAATATTTAAAAAATATATATATTTCATTAGTGTTTATATAAAAAATCATTAGAAGTGATTTGTTACTTTATTTAAATGTGTTATAAAAACGTAAGTAAAGAACAAAGTTATTTAATTCAAACAGGCTTTCAAAAAAGTTTCTTTTTTTTTCTTCTCAATAAAAATTTTAATGATTATAATATAAAGTTTTTTAAAGGGACTTTCGCCGTTTAAAGTTGTCGCTTATAAAATTTAATTTTTTTAATTTTTACTTATAAAAGATCTTATATAATCAACTATAAATAAAAAATTATACAACTTTAAATGATACTTAAATGAAAAAAAATTTTGCTAATATAAAAACGTTAGTAAAGATAAACATGTTGAAGTAATTTCTTTGATATGTAATTAAAAACCAATTTTTTCAGCGCATTTGTTAAAAACTGAGGTTAAATCATCAAAACAAAATATTATTTGCGTGGTCATATAAAGACTTGAAATTACATGCCTTCCTGGCCAAGCCTATATATATATATATATATATATATATATATATATATATATATATATATATATATATATATATATATATATATATATATATATATATATATATATATATATATATATATATATATTTATACACTACCGACAAAAAGTTTGAGGCAGGTACTAAATTTTTTAAAATTGCTAAATAAATAAACTTTTTCTATATGATTTGTACTTTAATAATAATGAATACAAAAACTAATAAATACTAAACATTTTTTATTATAAATTTTTAATTATAATTTTTATTTTGCATAAATTTTTGATTCATCAAAATATCCTCCTTTATTCTTTATTACAATGAGACAAATCTTTGGCATTTGATTTATCAATATACGTAGTGTTTCGGGTTGCATTGCATTCCATTGTTCTTGCAATATGTTCCGAAGGTTTTCTAGAGAAGATGGTTGTTTTCTCACACTTTACTGTCAAGTTCTTCCCATAACAACTCAATTAGATTGATATCCAGCGACTGTGGTAGCCAATCCATAATTTTTGTACTTTTTGGCTTTGGAGGTCTTCTAACTGCGATTTACAAATTTTGCTGGCATGCTTTGGATCATTATCCTGCATAAAAACATATTGATTCGGAAATAATCTATCACCAGATTTTACTTATTGTTCCAAAATTTCTCTACTAATTTCTTTCGTCATTATTCGTTCTGTGGATTCTGTGGATCAATCCAACATTTTCTCAACCAAAACATCCCCAAACTGTGACGAAGCCAATAAAATATAAACTTTCAGTACGTTATTACTTGCAAGGGAAGGAAAGACCACTCACAATGATATTCAATCAAAGAAATAAAAACTTTAACTGCGATCTTCTACTTGGACCAACAAGTGCCCAAGTTTGTTTTTTAAACAAATAAGAAATGTAGATTATAATGTATCAGGTATCCACTGTTGATTACAATATTATAAACAGTTCTACTCTACTAGTGATATATTAGAATCATAAATTAAAGCATAAACACACTAATTGAAGACGAAAAAATAAACAATTTAAGTGCATTTACATCTTGAAATCATATATATATATATATATATATATATATATATATATATATATATATATATATATATATATATATATATATATATATATATATATGTATATAATATGGTAATACAAAACTATGGTACAAATTTGTTACATAAATATGCTATAGTAGATTTATAATTTTATTCAATTCAAATTAAAACATTAAATTTGCTAATACCATCGCTGGGAAGTCTTGAAATCAAAACTAGAAAACAGTGTAAAGATTCCAAAAACTCTCACAGACTAGATGGTCTGCACGCTGCACAGGTTATTTTAGTTACAAGGTATAATTATCATGATCAGTTTTTTAAGTTTCTAAATCCCCCCCTTTCCCCTAAAAAATTTTAAACCATTACCATAATGAGAAGACATTGACATCAATTCCTAATTTTACCTTTATCTCCTGTAGATTATAGTTTCTGTTATTTCAATTAAATTTGTCTTATATGAATTTAAATCAAACATTAAACTTACCAATTATTATTATAATTATGTTATTTAGAACTAACTTAGATAGGACCCGTAAAAAAACGGGTCTTTGCAAGTCTATTCCAAACCAAACTATTCTATACTTTTTCCTTATATATCCTAGCTTTCCGGATCCGTAAATACGGGTCTTTCCCAAACCTACCATTTCTATACATATCTATTCCACACTGATTATTTATATACCTATTCCTTATTTACTTCAATACTTTTTAGTAAAATAATTTATTCTGAAAAAAACATTCAAGGGCAAAAAACTTAAAATGCGCACATTTTCCGCATACGTAGAGCTTATAAGAGACTAATAATTGGTTTGGTTTTTCTGCTTAATGCATTTCATTGATAGCTCAGTGGTTAAGTGCGCTGTCATCAGTTTTGTTTTGGGGGGTTTAAGATCTCTACTCAGCGTAATAAATTTTGAATTTTTTTCTATCTTGCTTATATATTTATAGCAAAAAAATAATAATATAATAAAAAAGATTTTTAAATTTAAAATAAAATTTATAAGTTTTTTCATTTTATAAATACATTGTACACAATTATCTCTATATAATGCTTGCTAACTCAACATATGCTAAAGGCGTTTACACTTACAAACATTTGTACGTAACGCTATACCAATGGAACTAAGAAGATCTTAGACCACTAAAACATAGTCATAAAAAAAGTTTGTTCTTATGATTATAATTAAAAACTAAAGAATATTATCCTCAGCTATTAAACGCTAATCTAAAAGAATAGCCAAAAAAAATTAATGCATTGGCGTCTATTTGTGGCAAAATAAACCTTTATGCCTCAAGTTTCCTTTTGCATTTATCTTATTAATATTTTTTATTAATTTTAATTGTTGCATACAATTGCATACAAATATTTAAAACTAGTAAAGATATCATTTCATGGATAATAGATTGTATTTATTAAAATAGTAATAAATGAATAGTTTTTTGCTTTATTAGAATGTATCCCATAAAAATATATTCCATATATCTTTAAAAGAAGATTTTTTTTTTTAATTTCAATAAAATCTTATTTCTAATTTGTTTTTCTAGTTTTTTGCCACAAAGTGACGTCACACAAAAAAATTCTGGCTTCTACGATATACGAAAAAGCCTTGTCTATCATTATTTTAAGAAGTCTAAGAAGCAGATAACGTAATTTTAGCAATCAGAAATTATCAAGAGATAATTTAATCTAAAATTGAAATTTCAAGTTTTCCACTTGGATGAGACAATATGTATATGTTTTTTCAGTCTTTTCAATTTTTTAAATATAATCACATACATACAAATAATCAAAACAAAACAGCTTGAACAAAAAATACTTTTAACTATTAGAAAAGTCTACTTATATTACATATGATCCTCAATAAAATGTTATTTAAGTGGATTTTTTACATTTTATAAACAATATAAATAAGTAAATTACATATTTGTTTATATAAATCATTTATATAGGGATGGTTAAGTTCCAAACCTGCCTATACAATAAAGTTTTAAAAAAATTAGTTTTATATTAAAAAACGATTTATATGTTTCTTTGCTAACACCAATATACTATGCTTAAAAGTGCATTGAAATGCAATTACTTTCAATTTTTTTGGTTTAGTGGCTTTTGTTAAGAGCTTTTGTGTCAAATTATTGTATCATCCATATTGCAGCTGTTTTTCAAAAGGTCTTAAGGTAAAAAAAAATCAATTTTGACTTTTTTACAAAATAAGCTAGTTTAGATGCCAACAAACATTGAATACATATTTTCAAAGAACTCTGAAAATTATTTATTAAGGCGAAATTAATTATTAAGGCGAAAATTATTTACTAAGGCGTTATAAATAACAGCTTCAGCATATATATATATATATATATATATATATATATATATATATATATATATATATATATATATATTATATATATATATATATATATATATATATATATATATATATATATATATATATATATATATATATACTTTTTTTCAGACCTTCCACAGCTTATTAGGACTAATTACCTGAGTACATTAATAACATAAGTATCTCAATCATGACACATATGCAACAAAATTTTTTCACAGTGTTTTGATGTTTTTAGAAAAAATTTAGTTTTAAAAATCTCTTCATTTGTTAAAGTGTATAATATCGTTACATATGTTTGTATATAATCTATATAAAACTTCAATAGTATTTTATATTTTAAAATAATCAATAAAAAATAGAAAAAAAAGCCACCATTAGTAGGACTCGAACCACAGCAGTGTTTGTTCAGTTAGTTCAGAAACTCGGCGCGCTATCCACTCAGCCACTCTAGCACATTTATATGCAAAAATCTTTAAAACTATATAATAATTTTTTTAACAGAAATGCTGTAGATCAAAATTAACGAGAGCTTGACACAATGCAATTTTCAAGTGAAAGTTAGACTGTAAAGCTTGATACATGTTTTAGTATGTTTTAAAATTACTTAATTAGAAATTTACGTTAGATATTTTCATACACTTTTGCTCACATTTTCTTACAACAAAATGTACTGCAACGCTTTCTCGCCACTACCTCGCTTACAATGGCTTACAAGAGTTCTGTATCAAACACGCTCAAAAGGGCATTAACACTACCAAAAGGATTAAGTTTGGCAATAATATATAGAGATTAATGTAATGGTCATTTTGCTATTGCTTGTTTTTTAAAATTTTAATTTGTTCAGAATTTAAATTAAAAGTTTGTTTTAGTGTTATTATTTCAATTAGTTTAATTAGAATTTAAATAAAACATTTGTTTTGCCATTTTTTATTTATTTGAAAAAGCAAATATAATTTAGTTCTAACAACAAGATTTCCTTTAAGGTTGAAAAACATCTTTTTTAAAAATTTATTGGATTACCTCAGAATATGTAATTTAAAAAAATATGTATGCCATAAAAACAAAGTAGACAAAACATTACTGCAAGCATTTGAGTTAAGAAAGTTACACTGTAAAAAAAGATTTATGATTTTTTTTAAGAGTGGTTTATTTTTTTAAAAAGTTGAAACATACTATTTAATTTATTTTTTGTATTATATTTTATATTGGTAAATTTATACGCAAAATATAATATTTATCTAAATACAAATATATATATATATGTATATATATATATATATATATATATATATATATATATATATATATATATATATATATATATATATATATATATATATATATATATATATATACATATATATATATATATATATACATATATACATATATATACATATATATATAAACAATATGAACAACAAATCAATCAAATATAAATACCTTTTCTAAAGCTCTAAAGTATTTTAAAGTACTTTTGTAATGCTTTTGAGGATTGAGAAGAAGTTCTGTAAGTCTTTGTAATGTAAATGGAGCACTAGAAATAATGTTTTCATTATAGATAAAGTAAATAACAAAAAAAGTAATTAGAACAATTTTTTTATACAAAAATTTTTTTTTATATATATCCTCTTTTGCCTAGTCTAAAAATAATTCAAACCTGTGGTCAAACACAGTGGTTTTTATTAACTTAAGTTAATGAAAACCACTGCCTGAGAAAGTTTTTTTAAAGCATAAAATAATAATTTAAAACAAATTTCAAAATATTCAACTCAAATTTTAAACAAATATCAATGCTTTCTTTTTATTTTGTATTTTTAACAACAAATTTGGTGGAAATAAACTTGGTTTTGGTGAGAATAAACATAGTTTTGGTGAGAATAAACATGGTTTAAGTTTTATTAAACTAACTAGAAAAAACATAATTATATAAATTTATCCAAATATATTGAATTGAAATAAACTAACTGAGCTTTTTGAGGACTTTATATAAGAACTTTGAGGAGACATAAGGAGGGTTGGTAACTAGCAAGTATTTGCAACAAATAAACCTGTTATCAGAATTAAACCTGATATTTAATTTATTTAAATTTCTAATTTATATTTATGGTATGAACTTGATTGCAAGATGATCTATAATATATTGTAAACTAAATATTTTAGTCTAGAAAAAAATTTCTATATAAGGAAACTAAAAATATAAAATTTGAAAAAAAAAAAAAAAAATTTTTTAAACTTTTGAACTACAAAAATATCAAAATATTTTTGTAGTTCAAAATATTTTGATTTTTTTGTAAATTTTTATATATTTTTTGTTTTGCTGTTGCTTGCGCAACAAAAAAGTCACTTTAATTTTTTTCATAAAGTCACGGTAGTGATTTTTGATTGGTTGATTTTTTTTCTTATATTTAAAGAATGCATGCCCAAACCAAAACCCTTAACCCATGGTTGCGTGCTCCACTTTGCCTATCCCTAAATCAGTCGATGTATGTGTGTTCCACTTTGCCTGTCCCTAAATTAGAGAATGTATGTACACTCACTGCACCTATCCCTATATTAGTCTATGTATGTTATTTACATACATAGACTAATATAGGGATAAAAATCAATGCAACTTTCAATATACAATGATAATAACAACTTTCAATAAAAAATAGTTAAAAAACATTTTTGATAGTGAAGGACTGTTAAATAAATTAAATAAATATATAAGTAAATATAATAATATAAATAAATATAAATATAAATATAAAAATATATATATATATATATATATATATATTTATATATAAAAATTATAAATAAATTAAATAGATATAAAATAGTTAAAAAACATTTAAAAACATTTTTCATAGTGAAGGACTTGATCCTGATCTTTGCGAAAGTTGAACCAATGAGATACACAATGCTAAACATTCAATGTAGAGATGCAATTCTTTTTAAATTTGTATAAATAAAACTTTCAAAATCAACCAATAATACTTGCAGCCATGACTTGAAAATAAACCAATCAAACATTACTACCATAACTTTAATATAAAAACTTAAAGCAACGGTACCGTTGCGCTACCCACAACATTTTTGTTTTGTTTAAAAAAAAAAGCTTTAAATGAGTTTTTTTTAACAAATTTAAGAAAACTTTTGTTTAAACAAAAGATTAATCTTAAAAAGCAATCAAACATTTAAAACACTAACCTTAAAAAGCGATCAAATGTTTCAAGAAGTTTGCCTTTAATAGCTTTAAGTTCATTCAAGTTCTCTTCCTTATTAGCAGAATTTAAGCTCTGATTTGTTTCAAGAAAATCTGACATAACCTTGATTAAAAAACATTTTTTATTACTTTTTTTTCTACTACTACATTTTCTTATCAAACAATAATATATTAAATACTCTTGACGATAAAGAAAAGAACTAAATATTTAATAAATAATATTTAACACATTACTCATGATCCTTTTAAACTATTAACTTACTCAAAACATAAATATTGAATATCAGGGCTCGAATAAGCGTATCGCGAATATCGCGAATGCTTTTCACACCTTTGCAATTAATTTTTATTAAAATTGTTTTTATTAACTTGTTTCTAATAACTTTTTTTCGCTTTTTTCTAATTATATTTTTTAACTTAGCATTTTTTTTTTACCTTTAAAAAAATATAGAATGTTTTTATATCAGGTTTTTGTTAGAGGCCATCACCATTTGTAATAGAGGATTAAAAATGCGAATTTTGAATGCACTCTAACAAATAACTGTAAATATGAATGAAAGAAAACTACAGAAAAATCCATAATCACAGGGTGATCATCCTGAAATGAAAAATAGTTCTAGCTACAGTAACATCAGATTTAAAAGATAGTGCAAGTGAGAAAGAAATTTTTATTGAAATCATAAACATTTTTAATAGTCAAAATTTTTTTGATATTATGTCATTATTTTTTGATTCTTGAAAATAGTTTAAAAAGTAGAAACATTACTATTGCAAACTATTGCAAACATTAAACAAGTGAAATAAAAAACTTAAATTTAAAAAAATAAATTATTTTAAATTTGTTCAAAATATTTTTATTTTCAAAAAATTAATTTAAGCATATTAAGCATATAAGCAAAAGTATTTCAACCAAAAAATTGAATGAAAACATCAACTTAAAAATCCTATGAATGAAAATACTTCAATTTTTAAAGATCAAAATCAAGATCAAGAAGCAATAAATTAGAAAGAACCTGGTATCTAATAACTTTAATTTTTTTTTTTTAAATAAAAAATTAAAGTTTTATGAACATAATATTTTCATTAATTCTAATTTATTAAATAGAATAGTTTTATTTATTTACTTTGTTTTATTTTAAATGCATTTTATGTCTTTAATGTTTTTAAAATCTATAAAATAGCAAAAATATAACAGTTATTTTATAAAAAAATTCTCAGTTGTGTTTAGTGCGAATAACAGGGTCAATGCCAGCAGAAAAGTGCATTGAACTATTAGAAAAAAAACTTAAAGACCATTATCTTGATCTACACTGCGACATTGTAGCTATAATGACCTATGGAGCTAGTGTTATGAAAAAAAGTTGGAAGGTTGCTGGCTGCAAATCAACAATTATGTTTTGCCCACTGCATACAACTTGTTGTAATTGATGTTCTTTATAGAAAAAGAGAGATCGATGCAAATCAGCCAAAATTTGAAAATGAATTTTTTGACAGTGATTCATCCGAGAATGAGAATATTCAGGATGATTTACTGGGCTACAATCATGAAAATTTAGGATCTAAAATTGAACTAAATGAAGTTCATTATGGATCAGTCATTAAAAAAGTACGCGAGTTAATAATAATGTTTAGACGATCATCTACCAAGAACAGCATCTTACAAAAATATATTAGGGCTGAATTTAGAAAACAACTGTCTTTAACTATGGATTGCAAAACAAGGCAGAGCAGCCTTCTGTTAATGCTTAAACGATTTTATAAAGTAAAAAATTGTATACAAAAATCATTAATTGATATATACACAGTGCAAGATAATTCTATAACTCTGTCACATGATGATTTGACAATATTATCAGACATTATTACAACTTTAGTTCCTATTAAAGCAACGGTTGAAGCACTTTGTTGCCGAGATTCTAACCTATTTACTTTTTTTTTTCTTTTTTAATTATAACTTGCGCATAAAGTAGCGAACAATAGTTAATTGCTTGCATTGATCACACAAATAATACATTTAGTTCCTATTATTAAAAAAACTAATGCTCAAGTAGATGGTGCTAATTATCAAACCTCAAAACCAAAATATGCAGTATTTGATGTTATAGTGCATGTTTTAAAATTAAAACTTGCATATAAAATAACCAACAATAGTTCATTGCTTACATTAAATATAAAAAGAATACATTTAGTCCTTATAATTCAAGAGTTAGAAATTAATCATGACAATTTACTCGAAGCTCTTCTACGTGAGTTTTGTAGACTGGAGGGTCTATACTATGAAAGTATTGATAAACCTGAAATGTTAAATCTAAAGAAAACTTTAATAATATTTAAATGTAAATTCCGATCAAAGTTGCGGAATTATTCAAGAACCTTTTCTAGACTTTTAGAACATGAGCAAACTTGGTTGAACAAAGATGTAACTGTTGACAAAAAAAACTTTGCAGCAGGTCTAGGTAAATAAATTAAATTCAACCCAGTTTAAAATAACAGTTTACAAGCTTAAATATTAAATATTATCTTGTTTAAGGTTGCCGAATAAGCTAAACATCCTGCTGAAGCATTGGCATTAGCTTCAATTAAAAAAGCCACTAGAGATCCTACCAAAAAAGATTTTGTTGTTCTCATAAAAAGTGCAAACTCTGTTCAAGTTAAAATCACGGAGATAAATTTTCCGATAAAAATGAAAACCAAAGATGCCTTGAGCTTAAAGGTTCAGTGTGACCTTTCTGATGAACAGTATCAAATTATTAGAAATTCATTGATAATACATAATGCAGGTATTTATTCTTCACTTCACAAAATTAAGAATGAGAGACACAAATGTTATCCTGAGGGTTTAATTGTGACAGAAACAACTATTTTAAATCCTCTACAGTGTATGTTTAATCATACTCTGACAAGGATATTAACTTTTACGGAATGCCAAGACTCTATGAGAATGTTTGCAGAAATTAGGGGAAAGTTTAAAGGTCTACTTCACTTTAAAGGTAGTTTTGATAGTGATTCCAGTCAAAGTGTCTATAAACAAAAATATACTGATACAAATATTGGAAAGGCCCAAGTTAACAAGCAAAGTCTTTTCCAGATAGCTACTGTTCCACTTAAATTAACCATTATGAACAAAAATGTATGGTTAAATTAGAAACTCTCCAGAACACATTACTGTAGACCCCTACATCTCCAATATCAAAAAGAAACGGAAGAAGACTAGTCAAGTTTGAAGTAAAGTTAGAAGTAGAGGAAGGCAAACCGGATACGACTATCCCATTTAAGTTCAAACTAGATTTAACCATGTTTGATGGTGAAGTGATTAATGCCTTTACTAACACTCTATCCTCCCAATCATGTAATGTTTGTGGAGCTAAGCCCAGTGATTTTAATAACCCAGAATCAATCAGATCTAAACCAATCAAAGAAAAAGCTTTATCTTTTATCCTCTGTATTCCTGTATCTTCCGTATTGCTGGCTCAGATCTTTTGAATTTATTTTACATTTAGGATACAAGTTAAACATTAAAAAATACTTTGCTAAATCCCCTGCTGAAAAAGCATCAGTAAAAAGTAGAAAAAAGAACATTCAACTGAGGTTTAGAGAGGAGCTAAGTCTTATAGTTGATATGCCCTATATATTGTTTATATATTAGTTGCCAAATATATATATATTAGTTGCCAAAACCCTTAACAGGGTTTTGGCAACTAATGATGGAAACACTGTCAGAAGGGCATTTGAAAATGCTTAAACTTTCGCTGATATAACAGGAGTGGCAGTAGATGTAATTATTAGATTGAGGACAATCCTAATATCAGTATGCTCCTGTTATGAGTTGAACTCTGAAAGTTTTGGCCAGTATTGCTATGAAACTACAGCTCTTATACTCAAAAACTATTGCTGGTATGTGGTTCCCCCAACTGTTCAAAAACTCTTGGAACATGGTGTGCAGATCTCTGAGGCATTAGAACTACTTATTGGTTACTACTCTGAAGAGCCATAAGAGCTTTAAATAAGGAAACTTGCAAAGTTAGATTAAACCATACAGCCAAGATATCTAGAAAGAATGTTATGAAAAACCAGTACCAATACCTGTTGATTAGAAGTGATCCTGTAATTTCAAACATTTATTTCAAAAAATACAAGGTTGAAAATGGAAAAACACTTACCCCTGAAGTTTTATCCTTGTTAATGCTGTAATAATGAAATAAAGCTTTTTTATAAATATTAGGTTTTCTTTTTTTGTTTTCTCGAAAGAAAAATTAGATAAGATAAATATTTATTTTGTATTTAATAAATTTTAATATTATTATAATATTAAAAGATTTTTTGAATCCAATTTTTCTTTTAAATTAGTATATGTTTTGCTTTAAAGAATTTTTTAAAATTAAGTCAGTCTTTGTGCGCGTAAAAGACTCTAACACGTATACGCGCGTGTAGTACAACCCTTAGGCACAAGAAAAATTTACATTAAAAGAAATGTATTATTTTTTTGTATGGTATTTTGGATCAAGGAATGCGATTCATTTAATTAAATAATATTTTGGGCGCGTAAATGACACTTACACGCATAAGTGCGCGTTGTACGCGTCAAAGATACACATAAAAAAATATTTTCAATAGCAATTTTAAATTTTTTGACTCAAAATAGGATAGTATTGACGTATCAAATGTTTATATATGATAGTTATATAACTTTTGCCGTTTTTTCCCCTATCTGACTAACTGTGCACCTGGAAGTTTATTTATAAGCGTGTTTCACGTGTCGGGAGCAATCGCTCCCGATTCATTGCAAAGCCTGTATGTATGTATATGTATATATATATATATATATATATATATATATATATTATATATATATATATATATACATATATACATATATATATATATATAATATATATATATATATATATATATATACATATATATACATATATATATATATACATATATATATATATACATATATATATATATATATACATATATACATATACATATATATATATACATATATATATATATATACATATATATATATATACATATATATATACATATATATATATATACATATATATATATATATACATATATATATATATATAT